AACCAGTAAAATGAAGTGAAAGAGTTATAAAAGATGCATAAAATAAGAAGGCCAAGTCAGGGTTTCGTAACATGGAGGATCAGGAACTTGAAGTTTCCAAGTTTTTGAATCTTAAGTCGTATGCCTGTGTTGTATTGTTGGCCTTTAATAAGCTGCCCCCATTCCTTGCCAACATAAAACTCCCTTTTGTTTCGCTGTGTTGATGTTTTTTTAATCTCAGCTTCAACCATCTGTCCATGTTGGTTGATTAAGACACAAGAATTGTAATTGTCTATGCCCCAAACATCAACGTATTTGACCGGAAAATACTGGAAATAAGAATGAAAGTGAATTATTAACATCATTATGTATATTGATTTTAGAAATAAAATATTTTGTTAATTTAAAAACAATGATGTAATTCCATACCAACGGTTGTCTTCCAGTCGCCGCAGATTTTGTTATAGTATGAAACCAAGGAACAGGATGTGTTGGCATATGATCTGTTGGAAAAGGCAGTTGTAGAAGTTGTTCTTCGGGTGGTGGTGAATCAACCTCTGTTAAATCTATAATCTCATTCTTAGGGTGGAGAAGTGGGACATTAACCTTGCTGAGAAAATTCAAAGTGCAGATTAATAAAAAAATAAAAAAATAATGAATAAATTAAAGTTAATGAAATATAGTTTAGGATTATATGTACCTTTTAGAACTCTGGCCTCTTTCGTTTTTAATTTTAGGATAGGATATTTCCTCTTCAGCAGCAGTATAGATACGCAACTTAAATTCGTTTGACCCCTTGTACCAAAACTCAGCAATATGTTTGTTTTTTATACCATAAAAATCAATCATGTCATTTACGCCTTTGTTAAATATAGCAACAGTTTTACATAAATTTTTGAGGTAAACCTTGAAGGAGTTTCCTTGTGGGTCTGTAATCAGACACTCGCCTGGTTCAATTTTACAGATCCAATAGTTGTAAAATTTTGCATTTAAATAGATGCGACCCTAAAGAAAAACAAAACAAAAATATGGAAGAACATAAGTTATGAATACGTTGGAATTCTGTTATTTAATTTGATTTAACATAAAATAAGTTAACCTTATTTGGGTAGACTTCAGATCTGAAGTGTGTTGGTGGGTTTTCCTGATCAGCGTCTTTAAAAGTGTCCATTATATGTCTTGAACAGGAACAAAGACAAGTAAATTGAAGGCTTCAATTCCACAATCGAATATAAACCCTAAACCGTTGACATAAAATCAACCTTTGACAAAAATAATATATGCAATGTATGAAATGATTATTAAGGATACATAATAGTAATAATAACCATTTTGAAAACTGGGATGTTACAATGGGTAGCGAAGTTGTCCCTAAATCCCTTACATAGTATTTGTTTGGAGGGAAATGGAGGGGAAAGGAGGGGTTTTTCAAAAAAAAAATTATTTGGTTCAACTTTTAGAAGAGGAGAAGAGAGGAGCAAAACCTTTTTCTCATCTAATTTTAGTTACTTCCAATATTGGAGGATTTGGAGGGGAGGGGAGAGATTTTAAAATATTTTTAGTATATTGTTTAAAATAACCATATTTGTGTTATTAAATTTTAAATTTACAAAGATACAAAATTAAATTCGTTTTTAAAATTTGATCTCTCTTTCCTTTAAAAACCAAATAGGAAAAAAGCTACCTTTCCTTCTTTCTTCTTAACCAAACAGAATTTTTAACTGTCCCAATCGTAGCCAGGAATGACGGGGAAGGGTTCCTTAGGCTGGTTTCCCCCCTTTTTCTTTTCGGCGGCGGCCGTCTCGGCGGCCACCGCCTTGCCGCGTGCCTTGCCTTTGCCCTTGGCCGACGCGGAAGGAGCGACATCACTGTTACCAGCCATCAAGAAGACGAAAAGATTTGAGAAGAAGGAGAAGATAGGGAAATCAAAGTACCTGGTACTCCTTTGACAAATGAAAGAACAATAACGGAAGATGAGAACTCGGTTGCCGGAGAAGGCGACGGAGGAGAACGTTGACAAAGAAAGCAAAGATGGAGAATGAGCAGAGAAAAACGAAGAGGCGTCGGAAGCAAGACAAACGAAAAGAGTAAAGTGAAAGGGGAAAGGGCACGAGAGAAGAAAAGTGGCCTTCAAAATTCAAAACGGCAATAACACGTGTCAGCAAGGGGACAAGACTGACAGCACATTAATGAGGCCCCGTCATGATGAAGCACTACCATCATTATGTAACCGTCATTCCCATTAACGCGCCGCCCACACGTTTCGGAACACGAAGTGACACTTATGACACATGGCAGTACAACATAGAAGCGTACGCGAAGGGTCACGACCCCCTACCGAGCTCGGCATCAACTCCTCGACCCACGGTCTTCGGAGCTCGGGGGGCTAGTGTACTATATCCATACTGCTATGCCGAGCTCGAGCTCGACATCTCAGCGCGGAGTGACCTCGGACACACGCTAAGCGACGTCAACCCGACATCCAAATAAGTCATAACTGATCTCAGGCCCAAGGCCCAATGAAACCCTAATTCACACAAAGATACGTGCATTACTTATACGAGACTCATACATCCACAAACACTAACTTTAACGTCGGAGTCTCTTTTGCAGGTACCACTCCCGCCTTGAAACAGTAAGTGTACCCAGTGAAGGAGGCTCGCCGATCTTACCCAGCAGATCGTCCCCTACGACCGATTTCTGGTAAGAACATTTTTTCCTTCTTTGTTCGTAACCAAACAAAATTTTTAACTTTTTTTCTCTCTTTTAAAAGTGCTTTTTGAAAAAGTTTACCTAAACAAACTTTAAAAGTAAGGTTGTGATCAATATTATAGTTTTAATGGTTATTAAATAAACATATAGCAATGGAACAAAAATTTAGATTTTATAAATCATGAGACTAAATTGCAGACTTAAGAATTAGAATATCAAAATCATAGATTGAATAACAGAATCAAAAGTATAATTTAAAAATAAATAAATAAATCATACTATCCATCCATGATTATAAAGTTTATTTTAAAAATATACGCGCTTTAATTGAAGCACTAATATAAACCTTTGAAAAACTTGTTTCAAGTTGACTTTATTAAACAAACAAAGTAGTGATTGTTTATTTATCAATTATCCTTGCAGCACTTCATGAACATTAAGGCAACAAGAAAGGTCCCTTTGAACTTCCATCATATACGTGCAAACATTTTTGCATGGCGTGGGTACACGTCACGTACGTATTCAACGTTCTTGCTACTCAACGTGCTTTCAATTAACTTCTAACCCTTTGTCTCTCTACACATTACATACATATATATTTATTGAATCCCAAAAAGAGTACCAAAACAAAACCCTACATAAAACCATCTATGGACAAAACTTCCCACACTCTCTCCGGCCGCAACCACCTCACGGTGGTGCCGCCGTCACCGCGGCTTGTCCGTAGCCGAAGCGGTAGCAGCCCCGCCGCAGCTATAACCACCCCAGATAGGGTTTCACAAAGGTTCAGCTGCTCTAGTGAAAGATTCACCAATGTCCAACGTTCAAAGTCAACATCAAGAACAAGAACAACCAACAACGAAAGGAACAACAATATAAACCTAAATCCCACGTTAATCACAAGCAAGCCAACCAATAATAGGGTTCAAGAGAAGAAGAGTCCTAGAGATGATGGCTTTGGCAATGGCAAGTTCTTGCAACGTGGTGTCAGCCCTGACAACAACTTTGGAGCTTCAAAGAGGACTTCATTGTCAACAATGAAGTCGCCTTCGGCGTGGGCACTTTCGCCGGGAAGGTGGTCCCTCGGCTCTTCGTTTGGGACTCACTCACCGGCGAAAGTCAATGGTAACAATGGTGGTAGTGTTGGTGGTAGTGTTAGTAAAGTCTTGAAGTATCTCAAGCAAAGGAAAGTGTCTTCCTTGCAAGAGGAAGAGTACCATCGGTTTAGGATTTTGTATAACAGACTTTTGCAGTGGAGATTTATCAATGCTAGAGCTAAGGTTGTCATGGATAATGTCAAGAATATAGTTGAGGTATGTTCTTTCTTTTTTAGTTAGTCCATTATCAAATATTTGGAGTGTAAAATTTGTATAATTAATAATTACGACTAAGATACACTTTAATATTAAGATAGAGAATTAAAGATATTAATTTTTAAAGTAAAAATTATTTTTCTCTTATATATATTATTATGACTTTAATTTTAGTTAATGAAGGATCTTCCAATATTAAGAATTGTGAAAAATATTTAATATTAAGAAATTATACCTTATAATAAATATAAATATTAAGAGTGAACTATTTTTTATTTATTTATAAATATCTATTTGTGATGTTATGATTTTTACTCTGCGATTCTCTTGTTAATTTCAGATACAATTGTTTTCGGTGTGGCTTAGAATGGTGAGATTGAGAAAGATAACAATACAAAAGAGAATGGAATTGCGAAAGGTGAAAAATGTGATGAAGCTTTATGAAATTTTGGATGGACAACTCTACCTTCTGACTGAATGGGCACAATTAGAGAGAAGAAATGAAGACTCGATAGGCAGATTGACAAGAAAGTTATCAGCATTGTCCACCATACTGCCTCTATCTCACCTTGTAAAGGTATGCATTTTTGCATCACACCGGACTAATATTAGTTTATTTAAATTAGTACATAATTTATGTTTATAACTTAATTTAAGCAATTTATAATAACTTAAATTTTTTATTTTCTCATTAATTTACGTAGAATTTGTTTTAATCTTTTTAATTTAAAAAATCTTTTGTCCATATTGTCATTTTCTTAATTCCATTATTAAATAAATAAATATATCATTTTAATTTTATATTAATCATAATTTATCAGTTAATTTTTTTAAAATGTTTAATTTAATTATTTAATTTTTAGGTTTTTTTTTTAACTCTAAAGGGCTTTTATCTATCTTATAAGTTAATTTTACCTTAAAAACAATTATACCATTACTTTTTTATATGTTCCATGTAATAGAATATATAGGTATAAAATATGGAAATATTATATATATATATATATATATATATATATATATATTTTGTAAAACTAATAAGGCATACATATTTGGTCAAATGCGCCTCCATCATGACTTGCATATTTAAGAAGACTTGCATATATATATGCTTGAGGGTGCATTAGCACTTCTGACTTTAAGAATTATAGGTTTTTTTTTTTTTTTTCATTTCTAAATTTATATTTTAAATTCATTGTTTCTAGTTGTTTACTTTTATCTTTTATTAGCTAATTTATTTATTATATTTTAGTCTCTTTTTAGCTTAATTTTCATTGTTAATGACTGTTTTGCATTATAATATTCATTTCTTGATTTATGTATATATATATATATATATAATATAATATAATATAATAAATACTTTATTATTTTTTATATAAACTGCTCAACTGACTCAAGTTTTTAAGTTTGTCACTGGTTGCAAATGTTACTAAAATATATTGTTTATTAAGAATATTTCTTTTTTCCATTTTTGATCATGCCAAATTGGTAAAGAGTTTTTTTTATAATATATTTATAAGAAAATTATAAAATATTTTAATTTGATACATTATCTATATGTTAAAAAAATTCACTATCTAATCATCTAAATATTACTTTTAATCCTATAAGTAAACCAAGGTTTCAAAATATTTTTATATTATCCATGTATTCTAATTAAATTCTTTTGTAAATAATGAAATACTTGCTTCATCTATAAAACCTTATTTGAAGTCTCAAAATATAAAAATTATTTTAAAAATAACGAAACATTTTTTAATTTTATATTGAATTCGTCTTAATATCTTGTAGCTTAATTAACGTTTTTTTTTTCTTATTTAATTCTCTTCACAGGTAGACACGGAATCTGTGTTTGAAGCGCTGAATACAGCCATTAAAGTAATGGAGAGTTTGGTACCATTAATAGCGAAATACCAGACACAGGTGCTTTTTTTATTTTCTCAATTTTATATTCACAGAAAAAAGTAGGAGATGTACTATCTATCTATATAAGTAAGAATTATTTTATGTTCATGTTTTAATTAAATATTATAGTTTTAAATATTTTCACTTTTATTCGTAATTCTATTACAAGAAATATTTTTTTCAGTTTTAAATATTTTATTCTCGGTTTTATTAATTAACAAATTATTTTAAATTGAAATAAGTATTAAATATTTTACCAATATTTATGTATAAAATATAAATAATACATTATTAAAAAAATATAAGCTAAACATTAAGAAAAACATCAGTTTAAAATAATTATTTTTAAAACAGGAATATTATTAAAATAAATATTAAATAGAAAATTCAAGGACACTATGTAAGAATAAAAATTAGATATTGAATGTAAAAATCGTTTAGTCAGAATATATTAACTTTGATAATAAACGTTTTAAAAATAGTAACATAAAAAAATTCGTACCAGACAGGCTATTTAATTTTTTAAAAAAATAAAAATAATAATTAATAAACTTTAATTAATATTTAAAGAAAATGTAAGTAAGAAAAGAAAATAAAAATTGCGTAAAAATTGCAAATAATATTCAATGTCTTAAAATTATTAGCCTAACATAATTTATGCAGAGTCTAACTTTATTATGATTTTAAATAAAATTATTTACAAGTTAAAAGAAAATTAAAAAAAATGTTATCTGTAAATGTAATTGAAATTATACTCACCAAATAATTGTTGAAGTATGCAAACAATATTATATAATCCGATTATGAACTAAATGTAACAAGAAAAACAATATTCTTACCTGATTATATAACTAATTAATTAATGGTAGTATTTTTTTTTTCTTTATTTCAGCAGGTTGAAAGGATTCTTTATCAAATTACAGAACTTACCACCACATTAAAACAAGAAGAAGAGTACTTACAAGAACTTCTGGGGCTTGTTCCAGTTATTGCTACTTTATTGGTGAGCCTTGCAACCTCCTTTTCTCTCTCAACAACACATTTCTAACATTTAAAAATAGCTTATATTTATAATATAAATAATGCGTTTAGCTTTTATTTTTAAGTTCTTATATCAAATATAATTACTCTTTTCTTGTGTTAGCCAGATTAAATAATAATGTTTTTTATTTCCATATACACTAATAGGAGAATGAGAAAAGCATTCGAGTGCATATTATCCAAAGGATGAAGTCCAACACTGGAGACTATCTCTCTAGCAATGCTCAATGATGTATTTGAAATGGGATCATTGTATCGGACACATAATATTTACACATCTTGTATTTATTTAGCAGTGAATTCGTGTTAGATGTAGCTGTGTATAAAAACTCTTCGGATCAATAGCAGTCACAATATTATGAACAATGAAAGTAGTCTCTGATTCCATAAGTTGAGAACATCGTGACAAGAAAAAAAAAATGAAGAATTCAAGGATCAATATTTTTTAATGAGAAGAACTTGAGTATAAAAAGAACTTGAGTTTGTTTTTTAATATAAGTTTAGAAGTGTTTTTAAGAGTCTTTGTATTGAAAAATATTCTTTATTTTTTTTAGGAAAACTCTTAAAAAACATTTCAAACTTTTATCCAAACATGTTTGTTGTCTATAACTTTGTGACTATATTAAATGGGACAGCTCTTGTTACATGAGTTATGATGTTGACAAAGATTACTTTTGAAACATACTCTTCCGTTGCTAAAGATGAAACTAATGGAGAAAGGCTAATGTTATATTCACATGAAAACTCTGGTGGACCCAATTGTTAGATTTGTAGTAAAAAACAAATAGTTCAGAATGTTTGGTGCTTAAGAGCTCTTTTAAGAAACCTCATGAGTCAGTGTTTTCTTTTGCTTCTATGTGCCTTAATTGAGTTAACTCACATACCACCTGTTATTGTCCATAGCAACTATATGATCTCACTTTCTTAATGAATAAGAATATTAACAAATACAAAAACAAATGAAATAACACAATTGATTCAATTGCAAAATAGAAAATCACTGTGATGCAGAATGGACAAAAAATGGTAAGGATAATTAGCCCGTTTGGATTAGTTCCAAGTTTATGGAAATTTTCCAATAAGATAAATATTTGATTACTAATTTACAAAAAAAAACAGTATGAGTTTATGGCATTATTATATATGGACAAAATAGGAGAGGAAACTTCTAAAAAAATAAAAAAAGTTTACATACATTAATTTTAAGTTGTGTGACTCAAGTGAGGGCATCAAAATTAATATAAATCAACTTTGAGTTATTTATGGATTATTATGTTATAACTACGATAATAATGATTAAGAGTGTGTTTGTATTTTCGTTTGGTATGTACAGGTAAATGTGAGTTTATTTTAATGCATCAAGACTCACACTTTTCCGTTTCGTTGCTTTGGAATTCACCCCACCCATTATACAAACACACACTAAATCTTTTCTTTCAAGTTTTAAAAGAAAACGTCTTTTCTTTTTAAGTTTGAGTAATGAAACTATCAAATCCACTCTAATTATGACAGAATTATAATAATGTATTCAAAGTCTTAAATACGTCACTTTAATGCATTGCGATAAAAAAAAAAACAAATAACTCGAACCTCTCATCCTCGTACTCTGAAATCCCATGATTCATTTTTTTTTTCTAGTTTCATTTTGAACCCAAAATACTTGAATGATGAGAAGTGAGGCTAAGTATGTTCTCCTCTCAAAATTTAAATAGCTGTAAGCTAGTGTTTTTGCACCTCTTGCTAAACTTAAACTACATCATATATTTTGTCTTTACTTAAACGAAAGTCGTGATCTTCGAAATCTCGTCTGTATCTCTACTATTCCATTATCTTCTTCTCCTGAGTCTTTACTCTCAAATTAAAATTATATCATTTAAAAAAGTATACATTGTGGCACTGACTCTTGGATAGTGGATATCAATATGCTTAATGTGCACATCTAAAACTATGGTAAAAGGATAGACTCAAAATTTAACCTTCCAAGTCTTAAAGTTATAGGAAATCAACCATGACCCCACAATGGGGAATCTATCCATAGGTTCATAACTTATTTTCAATGTGTCATGCATTATCAGATTATTTAAAAAGATTAATAAAGACTATTCAAAAGATTAAAGTGAAACTTAAAATTAAAAATGTGAGATTATATCTCTATTTTAGTCAACTTTAAAAAGATATTGAAATGATTCTCACAATGGACCCACATCTTTATAGTGGGATTCCTCACTTAATTGATTAATCACTTCATAAAAGGTTATGAATGAAGAGTCATAAATAAAGTCATTCCATTCCTATAAATAAGAGGACTTTGAAGTGATATAGTGTAGTAGTAGAGTCCAATCCATACTTGAATTCTCTTCAAGAGAAAGAGAGAAGTAGAGTCATAAAGTTCTTATATTCCTCTTTGTTAAAAGGAAAGAATTGCTTCCACCATACTTGGTTAGAATCAAGAGTTAAAAGCTTACTAAGAGTCACGTCAGATAGAACCTGTTGTACTCTCAAGTTCTTAGTAACAACACATGTAGAATGGAGTTCAAATCTGCTTTATTGGAAGACACTGACATGGTTTTTATAGAAGCCTTACAAAACAGAAAAACAAACATAACACCACATTCACAAAGCTAGCTAAAGACGTGGTGAGACTTTTGCTGAAACAAACATAAACTAGCTATCCCTACAATTCAGAACATTACTAGAATAAGCAACAACAAATAAAAGTGTGAACAAGTCTGATTGACTTGGTCACCAAAATAACTAGCAATCCTAACAAATCCTCCCTTAAACTGATTAGCAACTTGCTGTCAGTTTACTCCCGCTGATGAACGGACTCCAAGCAACTCTTAATTTCATAAACACATGCTGCTTCAATGCTTTGGTCATAATTTCGGTAATTTGATCCTTTGAGCCACAGTGCTCTAACTTAATCACCCCATCTTTTGTTCAATCATGGAGGTGGAATCTAACATCAATGTGCTTACTCTTTTTGAGTCTATAGATATGGTTCACAAAGTATTTCAAAACTGATAATTAAAGACTAATTTATACTTGTGAGACTTGACCTCCACTAGTTAAGTACTATTTCAAAATTGCATGAATTGATCTTGGAAGTAATAGGTCAATTTCTTGTGTCTCATGACACATCTTACAACTACTGGGTCAAGAGATTTAGTTATCAATGTGTTTACTCTTTCCATGCATAAGAATATTCTTTAATAATTTAATGGTTGAACTATTGTTACAAAAAACAATAGTGCACTTATTTTGTTCATGGCCAAGCTTTTCCAGTATCCTACACATCCACACACATCTTGACATGCACAAGAGGCTGCTGCTATGAATTCAGCTTTAATGGTAGAGTGAAACTGCTGGCTGCTTCTTTGAGGACCAATTCACTTCCCCTGAGCTAAGAAAAAATACGTATCCTGGTATTTTGTTTCTCTTTCCTTTCTATTTTTTTCTTACCTTTTTTTATTTATGTGTTTTAGCACGCTTAACCTTGCTTTTTTTCTTTCGTTTCCTTCCTTTAACCTTGCTCTCTGTTGGACGCAGTAATGCAAGTTAGGCATTGAATTAAAAGGACAATTATATATGTCAGTCACACAACCTCTTAATATTAATTTCAACATCTTAATTTTTCACATATTTCAGCTCTGGATGTCAGTTTAACTTGATTCACCTGGAGTTTCAAACACATGTTTATTAGTGGCTGGTGTCACTAATTTCTAAGTTGGGATTATTTGTGTTTCATGTGTTTACTATGTCATTGTATTGTAAGGTGTTATCTTGTTTGGCAAGTGTACCAAATCGAATAAGTAGTTCAATGAAAGTATGAGTATCGTCTTCCAAGGAACTTGCGCAACACTTTGTAATTTCACTTGTTATACTAACTAAGCTACCAAAAAGCAATAAGAGTTTGATTTGCTGCAGTAAATAATGTAAACAAGCAATAACAATTCTTTTTTGTATTTTGGTAAACACTTAGAGTGCAAAACTTGATTCTAATGCAATATTAATAAATTGTTGGGGTTTGACTTCACTAAACCTTCCTCTCATGCTTATCACTAAGTTCACAATAGTTATTATTCAGAATTTATCAATCACTCTCAAAAGTAACCAACCCTAATCTCTTACAAGTTGGCATCTAAGTTA